TTTTGAATAGTTATATACATTGGAGTCCTTAATTAGTTTGATAGAATGACTTTTAACCCATAATAAAATTTTGCATATGGTCTTTGAATAATTTGAGACCGTCCTATAAACCATCATTTTCATACCATGGATTCGATGGAGAAAAAACATGTAATTTTTTGATAGAGAATGTATGAATAATACCTCATTTTGGGCAACTTCTGCTTGGATTCCGAGGATTGCAGCAGCTACATCTAAGCCCACAATGAGTAAGCAAACAATAATACCTCCAATCTTCGTCATTTAAACTTTCTTCAATAACTAAGATTTACTTTTTTTTTTAATAGATATTTTGAGAAAATAAAAGTTTGAAATGTGAAGCAAGAAGAGGAGAGGCTTCTCTGTGAGAGAGAAAATATTTGTTTGAAGAGGGAATGAGATTGGGTAGTGCAAAGTCTGATGAGTTATAATGATCTATGACAAAATGGATTGATATATATATAAAAGTTATGAGTGTGTGGAAGAAAAAGAGAGAAAGTTAAAAATACATAAAGTTGAAAATGAAAGGAAAAGATATTTTTTTGGATATATATCTATCTTTTTGTGAAAAGGAGGAAATAAGTCGGCAAAAAAAAAGAAAAGGAGGAAATAAGACCTATGAGGTTTTATTATTAACTAGGTTGTGTAATACAGAATTACTCTAGATAATCGACCCAACGATATTGGCGTTTAAGAAACTAACAAAATAACCAACAAATTAAAACTTTAATATATAAATAAAAAAAACTAAAACAAAATTGCATTTTTAAAAATAAAATACGAATATATTTTTATTTTAATATATTGAATTTGTTCATTATATTCTTAAATTTAGTTTATTAAAATTTTAAAAAATGTTTTCAATGAAACTAATATAATGCGAAAAGCAATTTACTGGATAAAATTTGACATTATTTCTCGCATGACACATTGTTTAGTATATGTTAAATTTCAACTTAAGGACTTAAGGTGATAACTAATTAGATATATTATTTTTATCTAAATAAAACATTTATCCTAAATTAAAGACTTAAGAAGGTGACACATTGTCAAATTTCTCTTTCTACTTGTGTTTCCATTAGGGAAATTAGGTGAAATATCCAAAAAAAACTATAATAAAAATTCTAATTAGTTAACCTAAATTTAATGGATATAATTATGTTACATGTGTTATTTTTGGTCAGTTTCCTAATTTTTTTTTTGGTTAGTTAGCATATTAACCCTTTCCATTATCAGCTAGATGTCAACAATTTTTTTGTTTTTTTGCCATCTGATTAATACTATACAAAACAAGGTAACATTACATACGGATACATCGAAAACAAAGCCTAAAAGTTTACCAGGAAGCGTAACCCAAAAGATTACCTGGGAGCGTCGGCCGAAAGATTACTGGGGAGCGTCGCCCGAAAGATTTCCGGGGAGCATAACACAAAATCTTAACAAAAACAAAGTTCGAAACAGAAAAATTATCTAGAAAACAAAACAACCACTAAACAAGAGTAAGAAAAGACATTCGCAATCAACGGATAGTGCAGAAAAAGCAGTAGACGCGGCGTAACGAAACTCACCAGAAGTCGACAAGGCAAAGGAGAACCGTGAAGAAGAGACCCAAATATGACGATTAGCTAGAACAATGAACCACAATAGGTGATCTAAACTCCTAACCATCTAATCTTCAACCTAAAAAATCTAAATCTAGAACTTTGCATCCCCCCCAAAAGGTTAGCCTTACAAGAACTGACATTAGAAGACCAAAGGTGAAAACTGATTATTGACTAAACTAAAAAACGATCGAAGGAGGCTGAAAAAGAGTCACCGATGTGTTTAGTTACATTCTATATTAATAACTTTTAACGCGTTAAG